GTCCAACCAGAACTAGACATCATAACAGAACTAGATGTCCAACCAGAACTAGACATCATAACAGAATTAAATGTCCTAACAGATCAGATGTCCAACCCGAACTAGACATCATAACAGAATTAAATGTCCTAACAGGTCAGATGTCCAACCCGAACAAGATATCATAACATAATTAGATGTCCAACCAAAACTAGACAGCATAACTGGATTAAATGTTCAAACATAATTAGATGTCCAAGCAGAACTAGAAATTATAGCATAATCAAATGTCCAACCAGAACTAGACAGCATAACAGAATTAAATGGCCAAACAGAATTAGATGGCCAACCATAACTAGATATAAGAACAGAATTGGATGTCAGAACAGATGGCAAAATATATCTCAATGTTAGAATAGGATTAGATGTCCAAACCTAATTAGATGTCTGAGCAGAAATGTTTGTTTATAATTAAGCACAAGGCTACACAATTGGCTCTCTGTGTTCTGCCCACCACGGGTTTCGAAACCCAAATTATAGCGTTATAAATCCGCAGACATACCGCTGTGCCACTGGGGGCGAGGAGAAATATGTGACAGAACAAAAATAAACGTCCAAACAGAATTAAAGTCATGACAGAAGTTTTAGTATCTTTTCTAACCATGAGCATCTGGTCTGTCAAACAATATTTGAGTCATGACAGAAGTTTTAGCATCTTCTCTAACCACGAACATCTGGTCTGTCAAACAATGTTTGAGTCATGACAGAACTTTTAGCATCTCTTATAACCACGAACACCTGGTCTGTCAAACAATATTTGAGTCATGACAAGTTTTAGCATCTTTTCTAACCATCAACACGTGGTCTGTCAAACAATGTTTGAGTCATGACAGAACTTTTAGTATCTTTTCTAACCATGAACATCTGGTCTGTCAAACAATGTTTGAGTCATGACAGAAGTTTTAGTATCTTTTCTAACCATGAACATCTGGTCTGTCAAACAATGTTTGAGTCATGACAGAAGTTTTAGCATCTTTTCTAACCATCAACACGTGGTCTGTCAAACAATATTTGAGTCATGACAGAAGTTTTAGGATCTTTTCTAACCATGAATATCTGGTCTGTCAAACAACGTCTGACTCAAGGTAGAAGTTTGAGCCTTGCTTTGTGTTTTTTGGGCTAATAACTTACTGGTCTAAATTTTAATGATTTATGGACATCACAACTTCCGTCAACATTTTTACTCTAGCATGTATTTACAGCTTGAATGTAACAAATAATCTAACACAGTTTGGTGTACAATGGGTTGCTTGAACTTACGTGACCTGCTCTTCAGCCTGCATGCACACGAATTCCCATTTATTACAAAGAAGTTTCTTCAAGCGTGCCAGCGCCTGCTGGTGGAGGTCAAAGAAATATGTTAGTCTCTTTGAGCTACACAATGTGAATATTATCTTATAATATCCAACTTTTATAAACAAATATGCAACTTCAGTTTACATTTTTCACGCAGCGCCTCCTGGTGGAGGTCAAAGAAATATGTTAGTCTCTTTGAGCTACACAATGTGAATATTATCTTATAATATCCAACTTTTATAAACAAATATGTAACTCGAGTTTATATTTTTCACAGTTATTCAGATATTTAAATTTTAATGCAAAATTCTTAGTTTCAGAAGAAGAAAAAAGACTTAAACGTAACGGTGGTTCTGTTCATCCAGAAGTTAGGGGTCATTCCATGTTTTCTAGTTCTGTTCTGACATAAAAGCGAGAAACTAGTAACGTGAAAACCAATACTCTTACCGGTGGTCTGTTAACCCGCCAGTAAGCCTTTTCTTGACTGTCGAGTACAATTTTATCAGTTTTCTTCCTCTCCTTGGCAAGACTGAAATGATCAACATTTAATTACATGTTGTTACTCTTAAAACATCCTTGAACATTATTCTACACAAAGACATTATCACCGGGATCGTCAATCAATGTTTGAGTCATGACAGAAGTTTTAACATCGTGTCTAACCATGAACATCTGGTCTGTCAAACAATGTTTGAGTCATGACAGAACTTTTAGTATCTTTTCTAACCATCAACACGTGGTCTGTCAAACAATATTTGTACAACAATATACGTGTGAATGTACATATATATATTAAAAAAACAACAACAATATACGTGTGAATGTACATATATATATATATTAAAACAAAAACAACAATATACGTGTGAATGTACATATATATATATTAAAACAAAAACAACAATATACGTGTGAATGTATATATTAAAACAAAAACAACAATATACGTGTGAATATATATATATATATAAACAAATACAACAATATACGTGTGAATGTACATATATATATATTAAAACAAGTACAACAATATACGTGTGAATGTACATATATATATATATATATATATTAAAACAAAAACAACAATATACGTGTGAATGTATATATATATATATATAAACAAAGACAACAATATTCGTATGAATGTACATACATATATAGAAAGTGACTTAGAAACCACTCACCTCTCTATCACTTGTTGAAGTTTCGTTCTTGGTTTATAAACATATTGCTTAAGAAATTCAATCTGGAAGAAAACTAGATATTAATATACAAATCACAGGAGATGACAGCAAGTGTGAGAAATGACTCAATGCGAGGAATGGCGAACTATCAAACACAGTGTTTTCGAATGTAATTACTCTCGTTACCAGACACGAACTATTAAAAATGTTTGTGAATAAAGACCTTTATATATATATTGTATATATATATATATTACAATTAAAACCAACCACTGAAAAACTGTTTAAATTGCTTGTCTACACATATAAAAGTGAAGAAAAATAACCCAAATATTTTGGTTAGTAATAAAAGGCGTAGAAGATACTAACCCTTAAAACCAATTACAAACGTGAAGTAAAAACCAGTTTACAGAAATATTAAGAATTGTTGCTTATGATTAATAATGATCATGAGTTTTTAGTTACGTAAACGAAAAAAAGCGACCTCCTTGATCAGCGGCGAAATTGAAAGTATATGAAATTAAAAACAAATATAACAACCCTGTTTTTATCCATTGTGGTCTATAATGGTCATACACGATAAAAAGGGGGGTCGTCTTAAACAATTATGAAGATGTTAATTCGTCGGAGGTTAAATTTACGAAAGTTGACCTCACGTCAAGAGTTAATAGCCTCACCAACATATTTCCAGGCATCAACAATATTTAAGAAAAAATATATGCTGAAGACTAATTACGAGACAAAAAACGTCGTCTGTTCATTGTTCAACACTTTTCTCATGTCAGTTGTACATCTAAGTACATGAAAAAATACCCTTTTTAACTTCTGTAAACCTACTCTATTGTTAAATTCAACTATTTATATTTGTTCTTGATAAAGTATTACTCCACATCGTCTATAGATGAAGAATGTGAACAAGAACTCTAGCCTCGTGTCCTATCCTAGGCCTAACAACTACGTAAACAGAAAGGGATTACCTGTTTCTTCAGTTCTTCTATTGTCTTGGATTTCTTCGTTGTTTGCTTATTATCTATTGGACTTCTCTCAAAGCAGCTAACGATTCCTGGCTGCAAGGTGAAGCCAACACTCGAATTTACAGAAATATTCGCATGTTTTAACTTCAACTACATATTATTTCCGATTTAAATACTGTAAGACTTGATTGGCGTCACTCGACTTTGTGTAAAAAGTAAAATAAAAACCACGCAATATTAGAACAAAGATTATAAACCATTAGCATTGATTAATATATAAAGTCTTCTTATCTTTAATAGCAAGATTTGAATTAGTTTTATAGCTTTTCTTGATTTGAAAATCAAGACTTTAGCAGCCATGTCGAGTTTTGTTTACATATATCATTTTCAATTTACTCCATTTGATGCAGAATTGATCGTAGAAAAATGACTCAATATTTAAAAGACAGGACAAATGGGGAAAATAAGCGTCGAAACAAGTTCTTAAATTATCATAATTTATAACGTGTGAGATGTGGCAAGTTACATCTTACGTACCACATTAGCTGCTTTATATTAAGATTGGGCCACAAAAATATAATATAACGCTCCGTACTTTAGGGCCGTGAGTGTGTTATAACAATGACAGGCACATTTTACTATATATATATTTATAGTAGTTCGAAATATGGTTCACTTGCCTCTTTCCCACTTAAAACTTAGGGCCGATTAACACAAGTTGCTATTGTGTAGCTATAGTAACTAGCTTGTAATAGGCTTAACTCATACGAGGCTTGCATGTTCTCGTCAGTACGGTGTTACTCTATATCATAGTAACTAGCTTGTAATAGGCTTAACTCATACGAGGCTTGCATGTTCTCGTCAGTATGGTGTTATCTATATTATAGTAACTAGTTTCTAATAGGCTTAACTCATGCGAGACTTGCATGTTCTCGTCAGTACGGTGTTATCTATATCATAGTAACTAGCTTGTAATAGGCTTAACTCATACGAGGCTTGCATGTTCTCGTCAGTACGGTGTTACTCTATATCATAGTAACTAGCTTGTAATAGGCTTAACTCATACGAGGCTTGCATGTTCTCGTCAGTACGGTGTTATCTATATCATGGTAACTAGTTTCTAATAGGTTTAACTCATGCGAGACTTGCATGTTCTCGTCAGTACGGTATTACTCTATATCATAGTAATTAGCTTGTAATAGGCTTAACTCATGCGAGACTTGCATGTTCTCGTCAGTACGGTGTTATCTATATCATAGTAATTAGCTTGTAATAGGCTTAACTCATGCGAGACTTGCATGTTCTCGTCAGTACGGTGTTATCTATATCTTTTGGTGAATATTTTAAACTACTCGCTAATGAATCCAAACGTATACTTCAGGAACAGTAGATTTTATAACAAATATTACCTCTGCCTTTTACAAATAGCTTTTTGATATTACTCGTTAATAGCTGAAAGTTTTAATTTGACTCATCAAGTAAATAATTAATCTATATGTGACAAATAGCCGCTTCTCACACAGACACTCAAACTGAACCAACTTTTATGTCATATAGTTACTTTTCAATATTTAGTTGTTATCGATGAGATTTAAATACATAGTTAAATATCAAATCAACTTCCCCTGGCTATCCTCATGGTTGTACAGGTTAAAGGTCCTGAACCCATCTGTTGCTATTTAGTGAAGTCAACTCCAAGTGTAAATGGTGTCTAAATTCCACCCACTGTGGGAGGATTACATTACCGGTGGGTGGAAGTTCTCCTTGTTCACGATTATAAAGGTAACCAAGGCTTTTCGAAGAGAGGGGGTGCTAACAGCTAACAACAAGGGGCAACGATAACACCGTTTACACCAGAAGTATTAATATTTTTAAGTTCCTACTAGTTATTACTAATACTTATAAAAGCGGATACTCCGTTTGAAACTACGTCACATCAGTGAAACTGGTTGACACCATTGTTTGAAACTACGTCACATCAGTGAAACTGGTTGACACCATTGTTTTGGTTTTTGAGTTGTCATGTAATAGAAAACAAGTAGAAGATAGAAGAACAAGAAATTCAAACTTCTGGCTATGATATTTACAGACATTCCCAGAACTTGTGACTCAGTCATTACATAGATGTTGTTATAAAAGGTAACACTGTACAGTATTGTAAAGTTCTGATGACATATTGAGGAGATATTTAAAATACAGTCCGAGCCATCCCTAAATAGATAGTGCTACCGCCTGCCTCATATTATAAAGCTATAAGTTCGGTGCTCGATCCCTACGATTGATCCAACGCAGACACCCCAGAGGGCCACTTTCAACAAACAGTTTTTCATTTTTAACATCAATTTAGGTTTCTAACTTGTCAGCACAGCATCACGCTCGTAAAATAGCTAACGACCTCTACTTTAATAGTATGAGAACTGGAATTAAAGCTGTTTTCTAAATTGATAATTTTTGATTTTGTTATTTCAATAAAACATCTATGTACTAAAACTCGACTTTAGTTATTTTATTTGCAAGAGGCAGAATATGTAATGTTAGTTTTACCTTTATTAACTGCATTATAACATGAGATTAAAAAATACGTGCCAGGTTATATTAAAACAAACATATATATATTAAAACAAAGACAACAATATACAACATATATATATTAAAACAAAGACAACAATATACAACATACATATATTATAACAAAGACAACAATATACAACATATATATATATATTATAACAAAGACAACAATATACAACATATATATATATATATCATAACAAAGACAACAATATACAACATATATATATATTTTGTATATTGTTGTCTTTGTT